ATGTTTGATCTCTTGCTGTCTTTCTCCCAACCTGGCAAGGTGGTTGGAAAGTCATGGATGGAGTATTTTGACTTTGGTGAATTACAGGTTAGTTACACTTGGTTTTATATAAAAGAATAAAATACAAAAATATGTTAAATTGTTGAAAGGTTAATTCAGTATTTATTGTAACTGAATTTATGCATTTGGTGGAGGTATATTTTGACCTATGGTCATAAATTGTTGGTGTCAGTAATTTCACTTACAATTGATTCAGATTAATGTTTGAGTCCAAACAGATTGTACGTTTACTTTACTGGTGAGAATTAGCATTTCCATGCTAATTAAAACATACATATTTTAGGTCCTTGGTATTTTGTTGGTGCCTCACAACATGTGGCCAGTCTCATAGATGGTAAGACACGTTGATGTTTCATTGTTGTTTTGAAGATGCCATATGTGTTCCATAATTGCACTTCTAAGAATCTCAATATGTAACTGAACCATTAATTTTGTGATGTCAATTTGTTTTGAGTTCTTTTTTATATGTTATATATTCATATACATTGTTTCAGACTACAGTAATAAATCCGGACTAAAGCCTCAACGGAGTTGTGTTGTTGAGTCAGAGACATCCCCGTTACACAAATACTCCGAGGATGCTGGTCAAAGTAATATTGGTTCTTTCAGTGGTACCGTTCGTTGTGCCACAGAACTCATCGAGTAGGTTGAAACAGCAGACGTTTCGAGATGCTCTGCTTCATGGATACCCAAAGGACATTCCGCCATCACCCTTAGAAGATCCTTACTTGGTCACTGTGAACGTGTCCTTCTTACTGCTTTATGTCCATGGTCTCGACGTCGCTAGTCAAGTCCTCACTGTACTTGGGACACTGACTTTCAGATGGCATGACCCATTCCTTGTCTGGAACAGTTCATCACACGATAATCCTACTTATTTGCAACTGGAGACAAATGAAATATGGACACCACCATTACTGCTTTCCAACAATGCTGTCCATTAGACAGTAAAAATGCCTTGATATATGGCTTTGGAGATTCCATAGCTGGTTTAACTGATCAGTTTATGTCGACAATCACTGACTTCTTCCACACTCAGTGTTACATCGATGCCACACATTATCCTTTTGATAAGTAGAAGTGTAACGTCTTCCTCATTCCTGTGGTTGGTTACTGTTTTCTACTCGTTAAAGTTGAGTCCAACCCTTTCACCAACATCATGGGGAAGAGCGTCGAATGGAAGGTGGAGAATATGTTTTGGGTTGTAGAAAAAGTGTCAGTGTCGTCAACCTGTATCAAGGAGCAGACGACAAGAAGATATACTGCACTGAGGCGACACATGTCTCCGAAAAGTGATGGAACACTCGGCTGCAAGAGCTCAAAGGTGTCTCCGACTTTTACAGTGAGACAAAAGTCTCGAAGACAAGAGGGAAGAAATGGATCAAATCACTCGAGAGAAAACTGTTTTTGGTGTTCCTGGCATTGGCTCTGTTGTCTCTCGTTATTCTGTTCGTTTAGTTCTTATTTTGACAAAGCAGACTTTAAAATGGTGTCAATATTCTGATTGTGTATCATCCCTCGTCTATTATTTCCGGATCGTCTGCATTTGTGAAGCTAAACAGAAAACACGTGAATTCTTGAAAATCGATGTTTTTCTCGATGTGTATTGCTTTGAATATCATGTAACGTTATTAGCGATGAATTATGGTATTCTTTATCCTTATTTATAAACCTCTCGTGACGTCATTTTGTTCTCCAATAGGACCAATGATATGTAATAATATCTCCTGCCTATTATATAACATTCAGGGGGTTGTATTTGAACAATGATACTTTAAGTTGTGAATGTCTCTGGTCAGTTACCTTTTTTGAATTTGAGGAAAATACTTAATGAATAGAGGGGAACGATAGAAAATGTGCATTGGGAAATGTTTTCCGTATATGGGGCGGTGGGGTAGCCTAGTGGGTAAAGCGTTGGCTCGTCACGCCGAAGACCAGGGTTCGATTCCCCACATGGGTACAAATGTGAAGTCCATTTCTGGCGTCCCCGCCGTGATGTTGCTGGAATATTGCTAAAAGCGGCGTAAAACCAAACTCACTCACTCACTCACTTTCCGTATATTTCGGTGCAACCTATCTGTATCCTTTTGAGTGATTTGGGTGAAAATGCATTTATGAATTTCTGCTCGAGATATTTTTACGCCCGGTTCGTGATGTTCGTGGAAAGTATCAATAATGTTTGGACCATGAACTTGACAAATGCATTTTTGCGGAATATTTTGTTTTGTCTTTCCATTAGATTTAACGCTTCTCCTCGGATTCATTGAGTTTTAACCATCACCACCACCATAGCTGGCTTAACGGATCAGTTTATGTACAGAATGAGTTTTATCTAACCTTGTATATAACTTTAATTGGGGAACAATATGTTAGTCTTGTAATAAAGTTCGACCTGGCCAAAAGGGGTTCTTTTGGTTCCGAAGTGTGATAACTCTCCTTTTGAAACGATGTAAGGCCTGTCCAACGTCTCGCTCCCGGTCTGGTCCCCGACTCAATGTGCGCTGTGACGACTTGTGAAGTGTAAAGACAGAGCACAGCTTGTACGTCATGCTCCCCCCCTGTCATAATCGCCACTAGTCCCTGAACCACAACATTCCCCATTCTACCCAGTCCTAAATGATGCAAATCTGGATTGTCCACAGTTTGTGAATCTAACAACTCTCTTGGGCTCCTTTTATGTTTTTTTATATAAAAAATTAAAGCACTGATGATCGGGTAGAGCAACATACATTACAGTAGAACTGCCCTGAACAGATGCAAACAGTTTTGAGAAAGACCTGAAACGTCTCAAAAACGTTTAGTTCTACAATGGAAAATGCCATGTTGATATCCAAGAGAGCTACTGAATTAAAGCAGTGCAAATATGTAACACGTGGTGACGAAATTATAGGTGCATCTAATAAGAGTTCCACCAATAATATAATTTGAAAGACAACATATATTTTAACCATACATTACTTTGAAGAAGTAAACAGATATACAAAATAACTTGAGTAATAATGATATATATCATAATGTACCCATTTGTACACTATCCGTGATATTTGTTTGACATGTTGTATGAGAGTTGTAAGTCAGTACGCATGCCGTGCAAAGACACCAGTGAAAGAGCTTTTAAAAACGAGTTTATATTTAGATATGTGCAAACACTCCCTTCAATAGAGAAGGACTTTCTCAACTTTCTCTCTATATCGAGCATATTCTGTCAGCTCCTCCCTGTTACGTCTACTTTTCACAGCCTTTGAGGTTGAATCAAGCAGTCTTTCCACCTAGATTTCAAGGTGCTTCATACGACTCTTGTTCAGAAGTTGTTAATGTTGTATTGAAGCATCAGTAAAGTTTTGTATAAAATATGGTAGAAATGTAAAGGCATTTCAAACAATAATACACGCGTAACCATATGTTCCTGAGTTCTTCAGGTGAGCAACTGGCTTACCTTTGGATGTGTTTGATAACATCCAAACACTGATAACATTTATAACATCTTTGTAAAATTTAGGCGTAAAACATTTCGACAACAAGTAGGCATCCCCATGGGCATCAATTGTGCTCCCATCCTTGTGGATCTGTTTCTTTATGAATATGAATCAGAATGTCTGCTTGGGTTGGTAAAAACAAAACAAGGTCATTTAGCCAAGAAGTTTAACTTGAGCTTCAGGCATATAGGTGACTTGATATCGTTCAATGACCAACAAATAGCCAATTCCCTTCCACTGATTTACCCACCAGAACTTGAGATTAAGACCACCTCAACTGTTTCATAGTTAGATCTATGCATAAAGATTCAGACTGCCACAACGTTGTATGACAACAGTTATGATTTCAACTTCCCAATAGTCATTGGTTCCCTTTCATGTCGAGCAATATTCCAACAGCTCCAGCCTTTGCTGTTTACATTTCACAATTTTGGAGATACAATTGAACATGCTCTTTTACCAAGGTTTTAAAGAGCATCATACCACTCTTGCTCAGAAGTTGTTCGATCAAGGTTACACCATTCAGGGCATCACTTAAGTTTTATTGTAGACATTTGGAGGACATTTCATAATTTGATGCATCAGTGACAAACATTATGTCGGATGCAATTCCTTATTTTGACTTGTACCATACGTTATTTCAGGTGAACATTTGACTAGACTTTGATGATTGTACCATACGCTTATTTCGAAGGTGAACATGGGACAAGATACGACTTTACCTTTCGCCAACACCAACCGGTGGGGCAAGATACGCTTACCTTTCGCCAACACCAACCGGTGGGGCAAGATACGCTTACCTTTCGCCAACACCAACCGGTGGGGCAAGATACGCTTACCTTTCGCGAACACCTGGTGTCATAACTATTTCATAGTGATTCATAAACACATGCTCTGTCATCGTATCGCAAGGTGACAATCACTGGATTGTCTGGTCCAGACTCGATTTGGTTACAAACAACATCGTACAGCTGTAACACTGCTGAAACAAATATATGCTCATAACATAGTCACAATAGTACAATAGACTGCTTTTAGCAGATATTTCTTATGAATGTGGAAAGGGTTTTGTGCGGAGAAATGCTTTCCGATATGGGGCGGAGGGGTAGCCTAGTGGGTAAAGCGTTGGCTCGTCACGCCGAAGACCAGGGTTCGATTCCCCACATGGGTACAATGTGTTAAGCCCATTTTGGTGACTTGATATTGCTGGAAATTGCAAATTCTAAAATTTGACCGTCAGTTTCATATGAATATTGAATGAGTTTTGTCCTTTCATGCTTGGAGTGATCGCATTATTGATCTTATTGATCTACAGAAACCATTACACTGTTCCATCGTACACAAAACACTCATTACATATGTACTGCATAGCAATCAACTGATGCATTTACAATTGTAGCAACGAATGTTTGGAGATATTACCATAGATTACGTGCCGCAAATATATATAGACGGTACCACGCTCTTGTTACAGATTCTTGGTCAGAGAGAAACTGAACTTGTCACAAACGGTCGTGTTTTAACGCCTCCAGCATGTGGATCAATATCATTCTGGTTATTTTAGTGGTACCATACGCTGTGGGTCAGAACACATCGAGCAGATTAAAACATCAATTGTTTCGAGACACTCTGCTTCATGGATACCCAAAGGACATTCCGCCATTTTCCTCAGAAGATCCTTACTTGGTCACTGTGAACGTGTCCTTCTTACTGCTTTATATCCAGGGTCTCGACGTCGCTAGTCAAGTCCTCACTGTATTTGGAACACTGATTTTCGAATGGTATGACCCACTCCTTATTTGGAACAGTTCATCTCACGAGAATCCTACTTATCTGAAACTGGAGTCAAATGAAATATGGACGCCGCCATTCATGTTTTCCAACAATGCTGGCTCTCCACTAGACTCTAGCAATGCCTTGATATATGGCTTTGGAGATGGTTACGTTTCCATGACAATCACTGACTTGTTCCACACTCAATGCTTCGTCGATGTCACACGTTATCCTTTTGACAAGCAGCAGTGTAGCATCTTTCTCAATAGTTTGGTTGGTTACACTTTCAACACCACTAATGTTAAGTCCAATCCTTTCACCAGCATCTTGGGGAAGAGCGTCGAATGGAAGGTAGAGGATGTTTCTTTGCGTGTAGAACATCTGGCAAACGTTTATGGCGTTGAGGAGGTTGCCAGGATTATCTTTAGTCTGTCACGTGAGTACACGTTTCATCTTCTGACTGTGATCACACCCGTGTCTCTGTTGTCCGTGATGAACGCCTGTGCCTTCCTTCTGCCTGTAGAGTCGGGAGAGAAGATCTCCTTCCTCATCTCAATTCTCGTCACGTACGCTGTGTTCCTCAATTTTGTCATAGACGTGTTGCCCAAGTCTGGAGTTCCGTCCCGTCTCGCCATTTACCTGATCCTGGTGTTCTGCCAAAGCTGTGCCGTCATCTTGACTACACTTGGCCTCCTCAACCTGTATCAAGGAGCAGACGACAAGAAGCAGTCCAGCACTGAGGCGACGCCTGTCGAGATGAACCCTCGTGATGGACTTGATCTCGATATACTAAGTGCAAAGGTGTCTCCGATTGAAATTGAAACCAGTAAGGAAAAGGTCCCGAAGACTAGAGGGAAGAAATGGATCAAATCACTGGAGAGAAAACTATTCTTGGTTTTCCTGGCATTTGCCTTGTTGTCTTTCATTATTCTGTTTGTGTAATTCGTTTCGCGACATTTAATCGTATGAAACATTTGTGATCTGTTTTAAACCGTCTGTCACTTTTGTCAATAGTATTGTGGGTATCTTGCTATGTCGTACTAACCTTGAAGCTGACAGGTTGTGTATCAGTTTCAGTTTCTGAAATAAACACTCCTGTCACTTGATATTGATCAGCATGTTTCCGTTGTTCACGTATGAAGCATTGAAAGGTATATTATTTTGCCTGATATGTAAGACTGCATATTTATTCCTGTGAACCGCTTCATGGTTTTTCAAGAGCACAGTTTACGTATATCATATCCTACAGATTTTACATGGTGTGCATGTTAACACAGGAATGCAAGTGATAGATCTATAGAGGTTTGTGAACGTGTTTAAGCAGGTTTGTCTTTTGAATGTTACCTATCTTGCCCAATGTACCCCATGTATACGATCTATAGATCTCTGATATGTGAATACTAGCGTTTATTTAGTTGGCTCAGTAACTCTCGACGAGGAGTCTTTGGAGTCTGCTGTGTCTGGCAATTTGATAATATACGTTTTCCGTGTGTTTTTCTGTTGTTATACTGGGAATAGTAATTATGTGTTTCAAAATTTGTTGCAGGATTTCAGATGGTAGTATATTTCCCCCAGCAATGCGTTTTATGTGGTTTTACAAATGGACTCCGTTCGTCCTTTCATGTGTTTTTCTGTTGTTTATACTGGGAATAGTAATTATGTGTTAGAATCTGTTGCAGGATTTCAGATGGTAGTTTATTTTTTATTCCCTGCAAAGCATTTTACGGGGTCCGTCCTTTCGTCTGTCCATACAAGTGGTCGTTTGTGGATCTTGAAAACTTTACATTGTTTCTTCACTAAACTTGGCATATAGTATTTATGGTTGTTTACTGGATATATATGGCTGTCACGATCTGTGGAAAATGTACATATGTTTATCACCGAGTTTCGACAACGTTTGATTGATAACTTTCGGCAAGGCTGGATGTCTTAGACTATTTTAAGTGACAGTTCACGTTATACCTCCTATGTCTATTTTAAGGATACCTTAGAACCTGAAAAATAATTGTCCTGTCTTCATGCTAAAAATATTAGAAATACATTTGTTCGATTTAGACTTGGTCTTACAAATCTAATGATCAATGAAGGTAGAAAATATGGTTTAGAAAAGTCTTTACGATTATGCCCCTTTGTGTAGCTCTTGAATTGAAGATGAATTCCATTTTATATCTTTGTGCCTTTTAAGTTACTGCGAATAAAATCTCTTGGCGAACATTATTGTCCTAAAACCATGTCAATTTTCCCGTTTTTGCTAAGCTCTTGGCTACACAAAAGTGAAGCAATTTTGTCTGATCTTGCTTTGTATGTACATCACGCACTGAAACTAAGAAATTCTATTGTATGATTATTCTACCAGCTCACTGAATGCTAATATCTATGGTTTAAATAATTGAATGAATGATAACAGCAGAACGAATATGTTTACATATTGTATCTATGATTTGTATATAGGTCATTATCTTACCTCACACATAAATGTCACTTTCTGATTGGCTGAGCGCTCTTCTATTATTTTCAATGTATCCCGCTTACAAGCGAGGAACATTTCAATGTACCCCGCTGTCAATGGCAACTCATTCTGTACTTCGTGGTAGTAATTCTTTATCTCGAATAACATTGGATCACGTATGATGTACGGAAATTACCGATGTTTTGCGAATGCAAATCGATGGAAGGGAGATAACTCTAAATCTTTTTTTCTTGTCAGCAAAATCTAGCCATGGCTACAAAAAGATTTGTACCCGTGCTTCAAAAAATTCAAAATTAACATTAAGGTGTACGGTAAGATAAATACGTTGTTCACTGGTCCCTCGGGGCGCATGGGTTGATGTACCCTCGAACATCGAGGGTACATCAACCCATGCCCCCCTCGGGACCAGTGAACAACTGATAATGGCCTTTCATGCAATAAATGCTTTGACTTGATTTGAACTGGTTACTTTTCATAGTTTAGGATTTTTAAAGTATACTTCGAGCTCCCATGAAAACAACTGAAAATTCTGGTATTTTGTATGTAATTTTCAACTGGAATAAAAGTATTAAAATGCTAATGAAGTGTTTCTGTACACTTCTTTGTCTGAGCAGCCGTCGTGGGGATTTCGTGTTAAACAACTCACATCAACCTCCGTGTAGGCTAGGTGACATGGAGCGGATTGTCACCCTCGGTGGTAAGAAACGACTAACGGGATCAGGTGGTAGAGCTCGCCGACTTGGATGACACATCTTATCATATCCCAACTGTGTAGATGGACGCTCATGATGTTAATCACTGAATTGTGTGGTCCAGACTCGAATATTTACATCCCACAGTCATACAGCTGGAATATTGCTTAGTGTGGCGTAGAACTAAACTCATTCACTCTATCACTCACTGATATTGATCAGCATATTTCTGATTCACGTATGAAGAGGCGACTAACGGGATCGGGTGGTCAGGCTTGCTGACTTGGTTGTCACATGCCATCGTATCCCACTGAAAAGTATAATCTTTTACCTGACATGTAAGACTGCATATGTATTCATATCATTCTATTGCATGTTTACAATCACTGGATTGTCTGGTTCAGACCCGAGTTGTTTACTAACAACATCATACAGCTGACACAATATCTGCTCATGATTGTCACAATTGTACAATCGACTCTGCTTTTGGCAGATATTTCTTATGAATGTGGAAAGGGTTTTGTCGCTTCTATTTATAGTATGCTTCAGATTGTGCATCAATTCCTGGCCACCATAATTTTGTTCTCAATCCCTGTTTCACTACTCCTAGACCCGTGAAGATCCGGGGTAGAATAGGTCTTCAGCAACCCATGCTTGCCACAAAAGGCGACTATGTTTGTCGTAAGAGGCGACTAACGGGATCGGGTGGTAAGGCTCGCTGCCTTGGTTGACACATGTCATCGGTTCCCAATTGCGCAGATCGATGCTCATGCTGTTGGTCACTAGATTGTCTGGTCCAGACTCGATTTACAGACCGCTGGAATATTGCTGAGTGCGACGTAAAGCTAAACTCACTCACTCACTCACTCACTCACTCACTCACTCACTCACTACTCCTAGGTGACCTTCATGAACCAAACACAACACTTTGTCCTTGAGGCACATAGGAACCACTAATCTTGTTTCCCCGAAGAACAGTCGCTGATAAGTATTTTACATCTTTCATCACATGCCATCTACCTGACAATAAGCATTCCCTGATTTCTTTGAATTCCGATTCCGAAGCTTTTTCAACATTACCAGTTGTCAAGACTGCTGGCATTGATTCCGATGCGACGAATCTAAAATATTCCTCGGTTTGTCTTGATTCATTTATCATCTCGTTTTGTTGATTAGACCTCAGTCGTCTTGAAAGACAGTCAGCAATATCGTTCTCTCCTTGATGTACCTGACGCTGTGACCATAGGCTTGCATCCCCAACAACCAGCGTTCAATTCTGGCACATGGTCTAGCACATGTATGAAATGAAGTGGTTTGTGATCTGTTAGAAGTTCAAAATGGGCTCCATACAGGTAGGCATGGAATAGTTCATACACTCATACCAAGGCTAAAGCTTCTTTCTCGGTCTGCGAATAACGTTTGTCTATATCAGTCAAACTTTTGCTTGTACAGCATATCACACGATGAACACCGTTTTGCTGTTGTACGAGATCTGCTCCTCGCCTAACCGGAATGTAATCTCCGATTACCTCAGTAGGTCACTCTTGGTGAAGTATACAAGTACACTTGCGTTGGTCAACCGTTCCTTGAGTGTATCAAATGTTGTTTTCTGTTCACTTCCTCATTCGAAAACATTATTCTTTCGTGTTTGTTTCCGCAGTTGTTGGGAAAGTGTAGCCATGTTCTCGATGACTCTCCCTTTGAAATTCACAAGGCCAAGAAAACTTCTGACTTCTTGAGCTGTAGTACATATTATGTTATGCATGTCATGAATATATGCGTGCATGTGTACAATATGTACAACGACATAAATATATGCATGCATGTGTACAATATGTACAATGACATGAATATATGCATGCATGTGTACAATATGTACAACGACATCAATATATGCATGCATGTGTACAATATGTACACTGACATCAATATATGCATGCATGTGTACAATATGTACACTGACATCAATATATGCATGCATGTGTACAATATGTACACTGACATCAATATATGCATGCATGTGTACAATATGTACACTGACATGAATAAATTATATGAACAAAGTATTTTAGGAGTTTTTCTTAATTTTTAAAGTCTACTTTACTGCAACAGACTATAGTCACGGGGGCGTGGAGGGCGAGCTGTCTAAGGCGCCAGGCTAGTGATCCAGCGAGCATGAGGTACCGGGATCGAGCCCACCTGTGACCGGGTGTAAAAACCTTGGAGTCAGACTCTTTCAGTGTTGTCACAACCCCTAGTGTACAGTACACAACCCTGTGCACTTAAAAGAACCCACGAATCCTGGAGTCAGACTCTTTCAGTGTTGTCACAACTCCTAGTGTACAGTACACAACCCTCTGCACTTAAAAGAACCCACTAATCCATTGGTAAATGACCATATGGTGGCCACATGAATGCGTGCAAACACCAAGTTGCGGGTACTGCAACGTGGACAAAGTACTTTGACTAAGTGTCCCAGTTCACCCATCTGTCCCAGTTCACCCACATTAACTGCAAGAGTTGTATGATCCCCAGGGAGTTGAGATTGACATCCAATGATCGAGTGAAAAAACAAAGCGCCTATTAATAATAGTATACCCTATCTACCATGGCCGACTGAACCTCTACCTAGAACAATAGGTGCGCGCACAGTGAGATGTGCCCCGTCTCTGCCCTCTTGATAAAACACTCCATTATTCATTCAGTGACTTTAGAGCAGTTCAAAAGCTGTGAGTTGCCAAGCACTTAAATCGATAAAGACGCGACATGTTGACTACTTCACGGTTTAGTAAAAATAACACGAAAGAATAATGTTTTCGTATGAAGAAGTGAACAGAAAAAAACCTTGAACACTGAATAGCCTTTTATTGTTCTGTCCAAGAGCGTCCGTTTGGGTAGCTCACGGATGGTAGTTCAGGATGGTGGACAAGAGACGGAAGACAAAAGTCAGCGGTAGAGTTGAAGACAGCAGCAGCCATGTTGGGGAATGATGGTAGAAATGGTACATAAGATGGAAATCACGTGACAGAACGCATATTGAGACCGAGTGGCCAGTGTTCCCGTTTTGGAGACCCGCTCTGTCACTTACACACATTCAGAAGTCGGACTGCGATTCTTCATCGTCGACGTATAGTCGGTGAGGCGATGGCCTTGGCCGACGCCCCGACTAGCCGCACAATCAGTCCGCTTCTGTCGATGATCTGGGCCCGTCTCGTCCCCCTGACTGGGTTCAATGACTGGTCTCCCTGAGTGACCATGTCACTCAGGTTTTATACATAGGGAAATTACGC